AAAGCAATCCATAGTTCACCCCCCCCCCTATCCAGTAAATAATGTTAATTTTATTCGTAATGTTTTAAAAGTTCATATTTTCACATAATGTTGACTTAGAATGTATAGTCTTGCAACAACTTTATTCTCTACAAATTATTAATTTTCGAATTCAGATAGAATCGGAATAAGCATTGAAACATGGAAAAAATTCAATTGTTTACGTTGTAAAAATGACGTGTGCTGCCGAAGCAAAGTTGTCTCAATATAAAAAAGGGTACATTTACAAGTATGCTTTAATCTATGTAAAGTATTGAAAACATATAATTATCAAATATCTCAACACGTTCAATATTTGACACATATTCTACATGTACAAATAGTGGTATTGCCAGAAATGTTCATTGTGTGTGATGGCTAATATGACTTCCTAAGTGTTAGCGTGTGAAAACAGTGAAAGTGGGAGAGAGAATATACATGAATAAATGTTATGCATGGTCTAGAAAAAAGTGGCCAAAAACATTGTGTTGTACAATGTAATAAAACAATCACAAACGTTTTTTTTTTTATATACTGAACAAAAAAAGAAACGCACAAAGTCCCCCCTCCCCTGCAGTACACCTTAGCTGTGAGGAAATAATGGAATATTTGGTCAGGTATTACATCAAGAACGATCTTCCTTCTCAACAATCTACCCTAAAATCAGCCAAGCGTGACGATGTCATTGTGTGACTTTGTGAGTTTCTTTAGTCCAAATCACGCAGCGTGATCAAGCCAAGCCGGAGTTTTTCAAACAAATAATCTCAACGGATACTCTAAGTTCAGCCACATTAAGATTCCACGTTGGCATTTTGATTTTGCCATTGACTGAGATGCCACGCTTAACGCAAATTCAGAGGGGTAGAGAAATTGCGATGTTGATGGATGGTCATAGCCAAACTGTTGTCGCACGGCAGTTTGGTGTTTGCCCGTGTACAATTAACCGTCTCTGTACACGTTTCCATGCTACTGGGATAGTTTCCGATCGTCCCAGGAGCGGTCGTCCGCGTGTAACGACCGCACGACAAGACAGGACGATTCGATTGTTGCACTTGCGCAACAGATTCAAGACTGCTCTAGAGACTGCGTCGCATACCTTAGGTACTCATGTAAGACCCATTAGTCCTCAAACTGCCAGGAACCGCTTGCGTGCCGAGAGAATCATTGCGCGCCGACCTTATTTCGGGCCACCTCTGACACCACGGAGGCGGCAAGTGCGTCTTGACTGGATGCGCAGACATGGCCCGAATAGGTTTGGTATACGTCGATGGAGGCGTGTGATGTTCACCGACGAGTCTAGATTCTGTCTGTATCGCTCAGACGGAAGAAAAAGGGTATATCGCAGACGCGGTGAGCGTTTCGCCGACGCATGCGTGGTTGAACGCGATAGATTCGGTGGGGCTTCTGTAATGGTTTGGGGAGGCATCTCCCATGGAGTAAAATCCCCCTTAGTGGTCCTGGATCAAAACCTCAATGCCGTTCGATACAGAGACCAGATCCTCCAACCACATGTCCTTCCACTTCTCAGACGTCATAACCTAATTTTCCAGCAAGACAATGCTCGACCGCATGTTGCCAGAGTATGTCGTGATTTTCTCACGGTAAACAACGTTCAGCCTCTAGAATGGCCCCCATATAGCCCCGACATGTCTCCCTTTGAGCATCTGTGGAATGAGCTGGACAAGCGTATTAGGAAATGTTAAAAAAAACAACAACTAACCGCGCCCAGTTGATCGGTGCATTAACACAAGAATGGAACAACATTCCCTTAAGGCGAATACATGTTCTCATGAATTCAATGTATAGAAGAATCCGTGCAGGGATTCGTGCAAAAGGTGTCCACACCAGGTACTGAAGTGTCATTTTGTTTTTCGCGGGTATCCCACTTTAAGTAACTACTGATGACACGAGTGACGTCACACAGACTTTTCTTCTACAGTATTTTAAAGAGTAGACTTGTCCCTTCATATTGATATAAAATTTTGTATAAATTTCCGAAAATATCATAGGCTATTGATTGCATAATTTAATTGTGCGTTTCTTTTTTTGTTCAGTATACTTGTCAATGCATATATACACTTTATGAACACATTTTAAAAGGGATATTCGTCTCGTGAATGTTCCTTTTTACAGAAAGGTTTGTCCCATGGTTGCGGGAAGGTGTTTAACCCCGTACCCAATTTGTACCGGTCACATTCTGGTTATAGATATGTCCTGGTGTCTATAAATAATGCCGAGATGCCAACAAATATTTCTTCATTTACATTCTGAATATTGGCATGTGTGCATTTAACTTCTGATGATGAATAATTACTGATTCAATAAGTTTCAACACGGACTTAGAAATCATATTCCTTGGTTTCATAGTGCGTCAAGAAGTTGCAGTTGCCTGACGGCCTCTCTCTTGGGGCCCCTTTGGAAACTTTGCATCTCGGTCAGACCACTTGTGTTTACTGCCTCGTTTCAAAACCGTCAGGTGACGTTATTGGCGCTATTTTTAACAGGGCTTCCTCGAACAATTCAAGTGGTCAAACTGGACATTTGGAACGGACTATGAATATGGTGATAGCAAGGTAACATAATAGGAAGTGCATACAAAACATACATTCATTACAAAAATATGGCTCGTCACGTGATGTCCCTTTAAGCTTTGAATTTTTTTCAAATTTAATGAAATTTTGTACTTTTTAGAAAATATATTTGTAAAGCTGATGCCAAATAGGAATTTATCACATACTTGAGTACTGTGTTATCCAGTGAATAAACCCATGTTATATTTTTTGCGTATTAACCCATGTAATATGATATATCAGCCCTGTGATGGGTTGTAAATTTCAATTGTTTCAATTGTAACGTCACGCCTGGGACAAGTACATGACGTCACAGACTTGCATACTGGAGTCAAAATGGCGACTTTTTACATTTTAAGGATGCATGAAAATTGTCATTTTACACAAATAAATGCCTCAAATCTTGATTTTGTGATAAAAATGATCTTACACTCGCTTTTATTTCATATGAAATTAATGTTACTTGAAACGAACTTTTCATTCTAGCTCGCCAGAGGCTTGCTTCATTAAAATATTCTTAGATTCGTTTCATAAATCTCATATGAAATGGAAACTCATGTAAGATCCTATATGTATACCATGATCGTGATCTTTTTCTGATCTTGCTCGAATTTGTTAAGATTGATTGACGTCACCTTGTTACCATGTTCTCAACCTGGTCAAGAATGTTATTGTCATAACCAGGCTTACTGTGTTTTGTTTTTAAATTTGGGTCAAGTGCCTCATTATCGTGAGCAATATTTACTGTGACGTGTACCTTGATGAAGTGTTGGCATTGAAGTCACCTCGTTACTGAGTCCCTAAGCTTGGCCAACTTTTTTTCCCTTGTCATGGAATCGATGTTATTTCACATTCGTTACTTGTGTCATTACCGTAACCAAGGTAGCGAGAAGCTTGCATATTATTGTTGAAGTGTAAGAAAATATCAAGAAATGAAGCTGACGAATAAGGGTTATACTGAACATGAACACAGAAATGAAACACCACACTAATAAAACTTGCATTGCTTTACTCTATGCTGCTGGCAAGAAAATTGCAATTGGTAATTTTGTTAGAATTACAATTTTTTGATTGATATACTTGTGGTCATGGAGGAATATTGATAACCGTGCACAATTTGTAACTAATTTGTTTTTTTATTCTTACGAGGCCGAACTTATTCAAAGGCTACCTCAAAAAAAGAGGAAAGATACATGTATATTGATGATGGTTTGTCCTTGAGTAACAACCATTGTGAACCAGAATCGCTAGAACTAACTGCATCTTATATTTCATCCAGAGCTTGAAATAAAAGATGATTCTTCTCTTTCAGTTTTATAGTTATTTAGACATTTAGACAATTAGTTACAATATGGCTATTTTAGTCACCTCGCTACCGAGCCCTGTTCCCCCAGCAGTGTCGTAGCAGTCTCCTTCGATTAAGTTAATATGTCCAGGTTATTTCGCTACTCTACGTATCAGGATTATTTTCTGTGTATACTCGAACCGTTTATCAATTATATACTTAAACAGTGTTCGGCAATGAGCGGTTAGCACCTTCGCTGAGCTGTTTTCATAAGGCCATGAATTCCATCTATAACATATTTCATAATAGGTGTCCTGCCATGAATAAAGACTTGTTCGCTGTGTCTTAAAATGTTGATATCATAATCCCTTCATTGTATTTGACAGGTTACGTCATGATGAGTGTCACATGTGATGTTGAAAACGATTACACTTCCGGAGAACCACGTCGTCCCCGTTAAGTCTTAATTTGTTTTGTGGGAATTCATGTATCTTTAGTGTCTGATGTTCGTATTGATTTTGAGTTCGGATTTGTCCCTGTGGGTTGACGCTGTAGATGTATATATCCTTTTCCTTATTTTACTTTAATAGTCTGGAGGTGAAACATTCCATAGAATTTTTGCTATTTTCGCATTGGTATATCTTACTGGTCACTATCTTAATGAAGCTTGAAAGTAAAGCCTCTGAAAGGGAAGGCCTAATAGCTGAACGTGTTGGCTATTGGCATACATTTCCTAAACGGATTTCAGATACATCTAAAGGCATGTTACTTGTACTTTTGGTAACATTTTGATTAGATGACCGAGTGTGTTTGTAACATAGATTATATCATAATACCACCTACTAGTACATGTAATACGTAATAGCAAGTATGTTTTTGCTTTTGAAACCGGCCTCACTTACTAATTTCAAGCAGACTATGAAAAATGTTTTTAATATATATCATCGCCATGACTAAACAAAATTCCCTTTAAACCAATTAGAATATCAGAAGGAATAAAGGTACAACATTTCTGATAAACTAAAGAAAAAGTAAAAGTGTCGAAATGTTTTCAGATATAATGCTTAATAGTTTTGTGCGAGCAATGCGTGGCTAATGAAACATAACAAAAAAAGGAATCATTGCTGTTTTATACAATCTATTTCCATCCTAAAGTCACATTTACATGTAAATAACAGATTATGCAATCTCATTTATTAATAAATATATTACAGATTTGAAAAATAGAGATATCTTTCGTCAACGTTGTGGTCATTCCTTGTGCCAGATATACAAATGAGCATTTATGTATAATCATAAAATAATAATTATCCATTTCAAACATGTATGCAATCTTTAACTATTAAATCAACAAACACAATCCATTCATGCAATATGTACATTATTTAATTATTCTCTCTGTATTTACGTTCAATCTTTCACACACAAATCCTTTCTAAACGTTATTAATACATTCAGTAACACAAATTCTAATAAACATTGTATATTCAAATTCCCCTCACATCCATTGCGTCTGACTCAAAATTCAAGTCACACAATAATACTTCAATTTCACAACTTTACGTAACGGGTTGAATACCAATGGGAAATTAATTATAAAGGACAGTGTTCATATAAAACGGACTTGTTTTTAAAAAGTTGATTATCATTCATGAATATTTCACTACTTAATTAGGTCAATTCTAAAAAAGTTTTTTACTTCAATAAAAATATTCTAAACTTTATTACAGTACAGTTATTTTTTCTTGAATTAAAATCTCCCGATTTATTTTCCGTGATAATACTTGTGTACTCAAAGCTAATCCGCATTCATATTTATGAACAAATTACAAATTTAATTACGCTTAATCAATACTAGTGAAACAATGTTTGATGTGAAATAATTACATCCTGCAATCTTTTGACAAAACCTAATATCTTTAAAAGTGTATAATGATATTGGGTTTGTTTACTAATGGAAAAGCGAATTTGAAAGCCTGTTTGATACCAATTCTGAAGGAAAACAATCCATACACATCACTTACACGACGGAGTCAGTACTAAGAGAAACAACACTTCTTAAATAATTAAATGACGGCCTTATATAAGAAATGTACAGAACAAACAGTTTCAGCAAATACTCTATGTAATTACTGGCATATCATTTATTATTTGAGATCAGTAATTGTCATTTCACACGCGAACAGCCGAACATTTCTCACATACGGTACTATATCACACCACAACTACTCCGATGTCCAGCCGTTGTGCCGAGAACAGCGATATATCCTGTCACGCGTGTCAGGACTTGATGTCCAGATAATTAACGCGCCGGACATGGAAACAGACCTGCCAGAATCAGCTGACCACCGATCTGTCACCGATAGCGACCCAGCCAAGAACGGTTAAATGCTACACGACATCAACAATTGCTGGTACGTTACACCGCATGGCAGACCATCCGGTGACTGGTCCCTATATACCGTCTACGATCTGTCCTTGCAACGAGACAACGCTGGTAGTCTAGTATGAGAATTATTTCGACAGAGCTTTCGAGTTTTCGCCTGGTTCTGTTTCACGACAAACTTGTAAGATATCACACTTGGTCATACATCATGAGGAACGTTTCTTTAGAGTCATCATAAGGATATGTTCACGACACACATGATATCACTTAAACTTTTACAATTGCTAACTGTCGTGGTTGTGTCTTTATTGTGTCTAAATATCAAAACATGACAAGGAAAATATAATACTAATAACGACGGCATCACCATGGGTACGGCGTCATGATCGTAATGATTGTTCATGTCCAATACCTTCTCTCTCTATATATAATATACTATATATCACCCTCAATTTTATTGTTGCGATATTGGTTTATAACGAACTGTAGGTATTTAACACCCAGAGAGCCACATCGCAAAATCTAACAAACCAGAAACCAGAAGCTTACTTATCTCTTCCCTTCTCATCAAATATATGGAAATACATTGTGAATTCAACTGATGCATGCCCATTAACATAACAAAATGACACCATTCGTGTTCCAAAGACAAACATAAGTTAGCCATGTAAATGCTTTGAAATATTCAAAACATAATCTACAATGCGCTCGAGACCACGTCAGCTTTATTCAACTTACTACCAGCTATTCTGAAGAATATGTGTAGCGTTTCGATTGCTAGGGCACGTTCTAATACCTTCCATCTTCAACAATGCTTCCTTAACGTAATCTTTGCAGCATAGCTTGACCATTTGGCAACTCTTCACTCCGTTCCTGAGGCAATAACAGTTTTCACTCACTGACAACACTACCGCAGGCCAATTTTGTTTACAATGAAATGGTGTGTCATGCGCATGTGATATCAGAATGACGCAAACATAAACAGTATAAAACGTATGGTCAGACAGGAGAAGGAATTCCCTCGTCTATTAGTAATTATACATTTTTTTCAAGAATATATATCAACGAAATCCGGCCGCCCTTTTCCGTAAGTAGACAAACTTAATATATGTATGCATTGTTTGAAAAAAGGACATAAAAACATTCTTCACTTTGATAGCACTTTGACCATGATGATGTCCGTGTTATTCTATTGAATTACATTCTCATTTCATATGAGCGTTTTCTGAAAAATTAAGAGATAAAATGCTTCACTATTTATTATCATCTTCAGTCAAATTGACCATGCTTGGCAGCTGTAACCAGTTCAAACCTTAGATATTTTCTAGTCAATGTACACGGTATCAGCTACCTGGATTTTTTAGAGCTATATTAACGCATCTCCCCCACTTTCATGTCCATGATTCAAAAAACAATATTACATCATTCTTTCGTCTCGGTAATGTTTCACGGGAAATTATAACAGTTATCCGCCGTCTTATTTCAAAGTTTTACAGTGAATCGCCGGTACTGCTTCGCTGGAAAATATTACAGTTATCAACAGGTCATGTTTCACAACAACATATCAAAGTGGTCCGCCGGTAATGTTTAGTGGTAAAGTATAACAGTGACCATCGGTTATTTCGCGGTTAACTATTACGGTGATCCGCCGGTCATGTTTCGTGGTAAAGTATTACAGTGATATGTCAGTCATGTTTCGTGGTAAAGTATTACAGTGATATGCCAGTCATGTTTCGTGGCAAAGTATTACTGTGATATGCCAGTCATGTTTCGTGGTAAAGTATTACAGTGATATGTCAGGTATTTTTTGTGGTAGTGATATGTCAGGTATTTTTTGTGGTGAAGTATTACGGTGATATGCCAGTCATGTTTCGTAGCGAAGTATAACGGTGATCCACGTGTCATGTTTCAAGGTGAAGCATTACATGCCGGTCATGTTTTATTGTAAAGCAATTGTTCAGCATAACATTGATCCATTGATCCACCGGTCATGTTTCTTGTTAAAGTATAACGGTGATATGGCAGTTATGTTTCCTGGTAAAGTATTACATTGATATGTCAGTTATTTTTTGTGTTAAAGTATTACAGTAATATGTCAGTTTTTTGTTGTTGTAAAGTATTACAGTGATATGTCAGTTATGTTTGTTTCGTAGCGAAATATAACGGTGATATGGCAGTAATGTTTCGTGGTAAAGTATTACAGTGATATGTCAGTTATTTTTTTGTGGTAAAGTATTACAGTGATATGTCAGTTATTTTTGTGATAAGTGTTACAGTGATATGTCAGTTATTTTTTGTGGTAAAGTATTACAGTGATATGTCAGCTATTTTTGTGGTAAAGTATTACAGTGATATGTCAGTTATTTTTGTGGTAAAGTGTTACAGTGATATGTCAGTTATTTTTTTGTGGTAAAGTATTACAGTGATATGTCAGTTATGTTTCGTGGTTAAGTATCACATCGATATGTCAGTTATTTTTTGTGGTAAAGTATGACAGTGATATGTCAGTTATTTTTTGTGGTAAAGTATTACAGTGATATGGCAGTTATTTTTTGTGGTAAAGTATTACAGTTATATGTCAGTTATATTTGTTTCGTAACGAAATATTACGGTGATCCGCCTGTCATGCTTCGCTGTTATGTGTTACAGTTATCCGCCGTTCATGTTCCTGGTAAAGTGTTTCAGTGATCTGCTTGTCATGTTTCGTGGCTATCACGTTCTATGACATGCTTTATCATATTTTTACATACATATAATGATAACTCACATGGATATATAACTTGCACTTCATTCGTTTGGCTCAGCTAACGATTAACCATATGTATATACAGAAAGATGAATATATTTACTTACAACATATGATCGGGAATGTAACTATCACATTTTGGATCTACCACAGGCGATCCACACAGTAAAAGTTGATACAGCGGCGTCCACACCATATACTCTGATATACACTACTGGGACAGGCGGGAATACTGACGACACGTCACTTCCAGTACCAATATATACATATAAGGAAAAATGTTAATGTCGTCATGCAAAAACCAGTATTGCTAATGACGTAATTCACAGCCATATTCATTGTAGTTTTCAGTCCTAGTTCTGTGTCACGAAAATGCTACGAGGATGGGAGGGAACTTTATGTTTCTGTGTCTATGTCATAACGCGTGACAGTATTTCCATGTCTATGTCATAGGTCATGACATGATTTTACTTGTCTTGATGACCGGATGCCAGTAATCAGTGGGTCGGTGTGGATGTTCCATTATGTCGTACCAATGATCCAGTTGTTCTCCGTGACTGTACCAGCCAAGCTCTACCTGCAAACAAACGACAAAATCCATGACACTTTGAACTGTATATTATGGAATTACCAACACATAAAAAATAAAAACATAATAATGATGATGAATTTTTTCATTCATATCGGATTACCAAATATGGAAGGGAAAGAGAAATGCCCTCAAAGTTTTTTGGGCAACTATCTTAAGGTTTCGAAGCTGTATACAGTTTCTTTTTGCATTAATTGCATTTGTGGTATTTGCTATTGGATTTTCCCTGCTATTCGATATATGACGCCGACACAATACGCTGATAGACAGTGCTAAAATGCCCATCACCACAACCGCCACTAGTCGTGAATGCGGGGCTTCCCGGAGGTTATATAGTACGCGCAATGATAACGGAGTACTGGCGACACACCTAGGTCTTCACCTTGTTGTTGGCTGGACAAACAACTGTGTTTATGTCACTATCAGACCTGTTGCTGATTCTTTCCCCTGGTATTTGTACCAAAGTGTCATTCAGGCGAATAAGCAGAGCAAACAGAAACTAATCTCAGCATAAATGTCGTTATCAGATTGCCTTTAAAACTGCCTTGCCTCCATGCGGCAACAGTGTCGGATACAAAAGCATGTAAGCTTACCTGGCCTATTTTCTGTATTCCCATCATCATGTCTTTGTGTATTACATGGAATACAAACACATGACCTAGCAGCTTAGGATTTTCACGATTAATTTCAAACACACATGGGTGGTTCCATACAGGATCCTGTGTATTTTGCCGGACTTTCGTCTTGTGCTTTGCTTCCCTCATGCCGTTAACATACATCTCCACTTTGACGTAGGGGTCTGGAAAGAAAGAGGAAACTGTCAATTAGCATTCTTTTTGTTGGAAGAATCTGCTCATTGATAACGCCCTATTTTTACCTGGGGAACTCAAGAAAATAGAAAAATATTAACAATAAAGAAGTTTAGAGAAGTATTAACCAAATCGGAAAATAGATTTCTGAAGAAAATCAAGCTTATATCGCAAAGCATAAGCAGTAATGCATACCAGTTTTGCTGTTAAGTTTGTATGTCAAACCATCTTAAACGTCTAATGGTGTCATGTTCAAACAGACTAGACTTTTTTTTTTTTTTTTTTTAAGACTGCATTTGTGCATCCTTTAAGCACAGCTTCCAAACTGTGTGCTAATGTGTTTGTGGTGAATGGCAACCTTTTTACCTCCAATTAAGTGACATTCAGTTTTACGTAGTAAGCTCTTTATATCGTAGCATTTATTTATGTAGAAAGGTCAGATATATCATTTCGGTTGTTTTCAACTACTGCTACTACAGTAATTTATGTTATTTTAGATTGTGCATTTAACTTACTAATGGCTCCTAGCAGTGATACTCGGGGAAGATTCCGGGCCTCAAGGACATTAAATACAATTTTCCCGGCCACTGGCTGATAGCACCCCGATATCCGAATGTCTCCTTGATGTAACTGGATAATAAAAATGGGTTATGCAAATGGATAATAAAAAAATGCTGTCCAAATCTTTCTTTTTAAAAATTGATTTAACTCTCTCTATGTTTTTAAATAAAGCTTTGGCGTTCTGGAATATTTTTATGGTGCCGTTGCATTGTTTGTCTCTCTTGTTAACGGGACATCTAGCATGTACTTACCCGAAACACCGTCTGTGGCATAATGGTGAGGTCCACTAAACCATTGTCCAATCGGGGCACGTCTTTTAGGAGAAACGAAGCCACGCCTACAAGATGGCGTCTGGACACATGATGGGATGAGTATATTTGAAACTCCATGGCAGCATCATCGCTTAAGTCACTTGGCACAAGGTCTGATATTGTGAACTTTTCAAGAAAGACAGGGGTCTGCAAAGAAAGTGTGGGAACGGTCATCACGATGTTGTGACTTTATACAATTTGAAGCTTTTGGAATCAAATGATTAAAAAATCAAAGGTAAATATATATATATAGCTCGAGCATGTGAACCCGATTAAAGCTTGTAAGTTTTACAACGAGTTTATTATAATCGGGTCTTCGTTACCATGCCTACGTATATCAAAGTATTGGATTTCTATAACACAAGTGATGAAAGAAGCGTTAGTTATTGTTATATTTTGAAAATATCTTGTGCATGTAAATCACCATACTATACTCCAATAACAATGATAAAAATATCGACAAAGACCAGAGCTCAATGCCAGGTGATACCGGCCTAAAATACTGGCATGGTTTCCTAGAACACACAAGGATAGACTTATCGTGGGCTAATCGACCTTAATTAATCGATCGATTCCACGTTAGATGAATGTCTAACTTCAAAGGAATTAGTATTAATCTCGGGCTGAATGGGTCCACGGAATGTGATAAACAAGCACCAGTGTTTGCAATTGAAAATATAGGGTTATGTTAGGACATGTCGGTGTAATAATTATAGACCGTCGCTTCTTTGATGTTGGGAAACCATATCTGATCAACTTCGACATTTTCAATTCTAAGAAGTAACATTCAATATATCTTGTTTACATGACTTGACTTGAGCTGTCGGTGTACATCAGAAAAACGTAAAGGGTTTTAAAAACAATTATGTCCAATACTTCAGAAACATATTCAGATGCATTTCACAACTACTTAGGCTGGCTGTGTGTAGCAGCCTCAGCGTTCGTGACAGTGTAACGTTCTTAATCGAGATAATTCAGTGCATGTTTTTTTGGATGGAATATGATATTCTATCTGACGAAAATCAATTAATTGAAAGCTTTGAAAAAGTTATTTTCATTAACAAATGATGTCATACCAGTTCAATACTTCGACGAGGCTGTTTCTACGAGAGTGAAACCCACGGCTCGATTAACTACCAACTGAGAGATCATCTCTAAAACTAGCTTTGTAAACGTGTTTAAACAGAACGTAATATAGACGTGCGATTGTCTTCTTTCATACTCTACAGATATCTACAATTCGGAAAGCATACTTCTATGCTTATTGATAATTTTTCTACAAATACCCATCGCGTTTTGTGTTCCATTAGTTTGAAAATGCCTTCCAAAAATACAGTATTGATTTTCGGTCATACTTTCTAAAAACTTTATGCTTTGTATGAAAAGTGTTTTTTTGACGTTACTTGGTATATGAACAAAGCAGCGTAAATTGAAAATTTGATAGGGATGTGTATGATATCAACAGTCTTACCTTTGTTTTCGGAAGTGTTTTCGTCCGGTATTTAAATGTCCTCCCAGGGACGAGGAACGCTTTCACGTACGGGTTGATCTCTGTGTCACATGGCATGTCGGCTATACGTAGGTTTTCTGCCTGCAATTAAGACATGATTAATGAAAACTTGATAGACAGCATTTAATTACAGTATATTTTCCTTGGTCTTTACATAACAAACCGGTAGAAGCAACAATTTGTGATGCTGCATGACTTCAGGCAAAAGTCAGAATTATAATAGAAATTAGCAGACACTGGAAGTACATGTATTGTCAACTTCGTAAGAGTCGATGGTCCTACCTCGATCACTATGACTGTCAGTGCCGTGCGGTTGGCGTTGAACTGGAACTGAACTTTGAGTCGACCAGTGGGCTGTTGCTGAGGAGCCTGTCTAGGTACCATCATCTCCTCCAAGTTAAGGTCATGCATCACCACCGGACGATCAGGCAGACCAATACTCCCAGGTTTCTGTAAAATTTACAAAATATAACACAGTTAACAACAGGAATGAGGTCCAAACAAACATATTGCTAATAAACAAACGTCACACAGACATTTATAAAATTAAATCTACATTTTCGTGTATTGCTGAGGGACATAAAAAGTGTAGTTGAATGTCATCAATAACTTGATTGCAATTGTTTTCGTTAGATCCCCAGCATATTGAAGATTTCGTATGCTTTGAAACACGGCTTTACTCTGGAATTCGTTAATAGACAAAAAATATGCTTGTAGTACATGTTATGCAGGTACAATGTTTATTTTTGTTTTTGCATATTGAAAACCAAATTACGTCACTTGGGAAATCTGATCATAATATAAGGAGATTAAATGCGATTTGCCTGGGGAACAGTTGTACGTGTAGGTCCGGTATGCAATCCTTCTATGAATACAAATGGTAATCCATTGAATAAGTTAGATAGCATGTGCCCTTTCTCGCTACAAACCTAAAATAGTTTTCTCTACATATCTTGAAAAGGTTTTAATGTAGATGCTATCATTCGCGCTGATCGTTACGAGGATAATCCTCTTGCTTTACCATGTCCTATATAAACTACCCATAAACGTCTCATGACGTCCGTTAACTTAGAATATCGAGTGTCAGTGTTATGTCAAGGAAAGAAAGCAAATCTCTATTTATTGAAGTCAGAGAAATTCAGAAGAAAAAGAACAAGCGCAACATTTCCTTGCCAGTTGTGCAGAGGACAAGTCAGGGAACGGTTAGCTAACATGTCGTGTGGATAAATCGTCAACTTTAACATTTCCGCTTGATTTTGATACTGAAGGCTATCGTATTAATAGATCAAGATAATTACGGTGTTATCTGTTCAAAGTAATGACAACCGACAGCCTGATTAGCCCCGGCGATCCGGGTCTCTAGCGCGTTTCTCCTTTCATGTTGTGCCTGCCGCCCGTTCTCCGTCAGCACCACCGACATTTATATGCAAAGCTTCTATTTATACACCTTGTGTCTGTGAGAAAAAAGCTTTGCGGTTAAGCTTTGTAACACCTACACACAAATTATATTTGACGGCGGAGACGGAGAGCCGGTGGATATTTACGGCAACTGAACAAAACACTGTTTTTCCCCTATGTGAAATAATTAAGTCATGTTCTAAATCCTATATTAATACTTTGTTTCGTTAAAGACACGGTTGCCTCCTCTAATGCTTTGGAAGGCAAAACTGACATACTTCTTCCTTCGTTAATAAAAAAAGCATATGCATTGCTCTGAAGCCCTGTCAGAATATCGCGTCTGATCGATCCAGCCATGGTCGATTTACTTTAACTTTAACATTTGAGCAAAATATGAAGATTCCACATAAAGAATAGGCTGACTTTATACCATTTGAGTGCAAACGTTCCAGTAACTTCATACGCAACTATATTGCCCAATAATTCAAATAGTTGCCTATTGCTATATAAGTTAGTACTCTTGTGATTACAATACAACATGGCCTCATTGTAAGTAGTGAAAATAGTCACTTGGCTCGCGTAAACGAGAGGTCTTTGAGGATAGCGTAGTATCACTGAATCCATTACTCAGTAATACCCAGTGATGTCAGCTACACATCTATTCCAAACGTTAAATACTTTCTCTGGTATTACACATGAAGTGGAGTCTTTGATTGGCGATTCATGTATATTGTTCCAGGTTTCACACTTGACTACGCACGAAAGACAGTCACGCGCGTCTCGCACGCGCTGTACATTAGCAGTATGACGTCACTTTGCGCTATATCGGCCTGTAGACGACCCAGTGTTATATATTACTGATTAGTGGTATTCTTAAAGTCTGTTTATGTTTGCAGACAAATACAATATATGTGAAGAGCATGTTCTCTCGATTTCCCTTAGGTTGCCATTTTAACGATTTCTAATGTTCGAGCACATTCAAATAACTTAATCCACACATTGTAACACTAGAAGTATTATCATACCAACGGGAATGGAAATCAGACTATTTTTAAATGGAAATGAATCGAATAAATATTGGTGTCATAGATATTAAGTGGTATGCTGATTGAAGTTAATGTAGACAAAACATTATTGTTTTGTGTCAGCTTCTCCTCAGGCTAGCGATGGGGTTAGGATACGTGCGGGGGACCGCGGGTCAAACATGTTTACAGCCATTAGACAAGCACACTCACACCACGGTGAGATCTTTAACGACAGAAAACATACGACCAAACCGCTGTAATAGGTTATACAGTTGTTATCTCGCCGTAACACAAACATCTAGTTACTGGATAGCCAACAGACACACCTTGTCCTCGTTTCCACATTTTGTCCTGGATAATGGCAGTTTTATGTATCACTGTCGTTCATGTTTCCATTTTGATCTTATTCTTTGGATTATGTTCATGATTTTTAATCACACAATAGAATAAAGGAGACTGAAGACAATATAAGGTGAACGAGTTACTAGTTTATCGCCCGACGACCAGTACATCTCCTGTTACCAGTAGATGTGTCTGTGATTATGACGTCACTACAACTAATTCGTATCTTTAAAATAATGAACTATAATTATACACTTACACTTTTTGACTTTTTCCTCTGATTATATGCTGGTCCAACTGGGTTTACGGTATGGTCAAGTGCGTTCATGCTGCTGACCACCAGGGAGGACAGAGTGACCCTTCGATTGTCGCCACGCCCCCGACCTACAACAATATGTAAACACTCATAAATAATAACACGATGTTAGCGTATTGGATCGTAATTTTGTTATAGTTCTTCACTTTGTTTGTTTCAGGTTTAACGTCATCGCAACAACTTCGGTCCTCTGCAGACGGGAGCCTTGTGATATACCGCCGAAAAGCTATATATTTCAAAACCAGGAAATCAATCTATAGAGAAAAATAATTAACATCGTATAACAAAGAAGACAAATAAATTACGTTCACAACAAACATGTTAATCTGATACTCAAGTTAACTTTCGTTTTAGTACACAATGACCGTCAAGAGAACGTGTCTTACCTTGAACACATACATAGAAGCTTGCATCTTTGTAAATCGTACATTTTTGTTCTATCAAACTGTATTAATGCATAGATCAAACTTTCATTTTTCACATATTTGTTTTACATTGTCAAAGTAGCCCACATAGACAAGTTCTAAAACCGTGCACACACCTGTATGTAATGCGGTACACTCACAAGTCAGTTTAAACTCATACAATTAGATATTTTGGAAATCCAATCATTTATATAACGTTAGAAAACATTACCAGCAATGTGATCACTACACTTTTGTAACGTTATCTGTTTTCTGTAAGAACTGGGAGGACTTTCCCAAAGTGTCTTTCAATGTGTTCTTTTACTTCAACTTCAACAGTTGTCGAAGACAATCAATATTGTTTCCCAAGGTTGTCCCGAAATATCTATCATCTGTATTAAAAAAACTCTCCTTTCAAGACAAGTTTTGAAAATGTGTTTTTAAGAAGCTCAACTGATTAATTAAACGCTATCGCTGACTTTTCTGTGACTTATCAGTGATATTGAAATAATTGATGTCTAGCAGAACATTAAATTGGAACAAATCCAGACATACTGATAACATTGCCAGCCTGCATCACTTTAAATCTCCAGGTACAGAGAATTTTAAGTCGTCTAATACAGATATCTCAGCGTTCACCTGGCCTTCAGGCAATAAATGCATAACACGAATTGATATTCGATATTCTGTTTCAGGCTAAGTTGACTAAGTATAGCAATTCAAAACTCCAATTAGGAAGACAGCGTTATATAGGGAGCAACCAATAAGACGTGGAAGCTGCCCGATTTCACCGTTTTAATTTTACCAAGTGTAGGATTCCATTCCAGAATGACATACTAAGACAAGTTTTATTTACAATATGGCTCTTCATAGTTTATTGATCATCTGCATCGAATGAAACAATTGGGCTATATTCCGTCATGTTACTGAACTGGTATAAGTACCTATGTACTGTCGTTAGAGGCTACTGATAGCGGTAAAAGAATATAAGACGTACATTCTAATCAGATGCAGCAGAATCATCTTACAAATAATGAATTAAAACTCAATCTAATATTACGAGATGACTTTCAATCAGAAAGATATACATGTTAAATAGATCATTAAAAACATATTAGTCATAAAAAGCTAAATTATCCTTTCCAATAGCTACCGTCATCTTTTATTTCATAAAATACTTCAATCCAGTATTTAAGCTACCGTGCCCCTTCCAGTAATCATGTTGGCCTTTTCAACGGTGTCCCCTTTAGGAGCCACTGTGACTCATGAATAAGATATTTGACCCTTTCAGCATCTAGTTGGGCTTTCTAATGATCTGCCTTGATCACTTCAGGACTTTTACTGTGACGCACCGAAGATCTACCATACCTCCTTCAGGAGCTACCGTGACTCCTTCATGAGCTACTATAAATCCTTCATGAGCTACTGTGACTCAAACATGAGCCACAATAACTCCTTCAGGAGCTACCGTGAATCCTTCACTATAATGTGAGATATTTGCCACGTAGTATATTGCAACACGCGCTTAGATTTCACGCGCAATTACGACTACATTGCTTCAACTGAATAGTAATGTCTTGTGTTATGAAAAGAAAGCTTAGATAAGTGGACGAGGAAGGGAAGCCGGCCTAATTGGCGTTGAGGAATGTTGTTTATCTTCATTGGTTCGGCAATGAAATCACTGCCATAATAAAGCACGTTAACATCTCTCTTCGTCTGCTTCACGATCAAGTGGTCTATTTCCACACAAGTCGAGTCGGAGACTCCATCAATTGCTGGACAAGCAAGTGCCAAAGCAATGCGATTAAATCTGACCGTTTTTACTCTCAACCGGTCTCAATAAAAATACAATACCACGAAGCTCAATCCTCCACAAAATGAGATTATAACTGAGGTTTATTTTTTGCGCTTCTGATATTTAAGAAAAATATTTTTGAATCACATTCGTAAAAATAAATTAAGAAAGACAAAAGTCAAAAGAATATCAAAGTATCAATTCGAACTCAAAATGGATAAAACCAGGTCCAAGGAAAGATATACATGTACGTTTTGTCCATCTATAATGCCATAAAGTAAATTAACTAAGGTGAAATTAAGGGGTAAAGTATACGTAATATTGATATTATGTTAACAAGTATTGTGATACATTGTAACCACAAACATTTGAATAAAACAAGTAAACAAAATTTTAAAAAAGGTTTATATGGAGACCCTTGAAAAAAGTACAAGAAAAATCGGATCAGGTGTTCCGAAAGTGGAAGCGTCTTCTGTTTCATCGACAACACACGCGATAAAACTAAATAAAATTAAAAAAAATCCTAATTTACAGTATTGACTGCACTGTTTCTACCTTTGTAGTATATCTGTAAGAATACACTAAACAAATTCCGACTCGATATTACGAAGTTCTTCGACAGATAAAATAATTCTCTTTTTTAATAAACAAGCACACGATAACACACCCACTAAATGACAAAGTCAGGTACAACCGCCTTGCTGGTATAGGTCTTTGTTACATCAGACATTATCCACCCATTTATTAATAGTTTCGATAAATGCAGTGAATCCGCACACGTGAAATGTATACATCCATCCCGGTATTCAAATCCATCCTAATCCTTATCCATCCACCCACGTATTCCAATCCATCCTAACCCTATCTATCAACCCAGGTATTTCGATGATCCATCCTAATCCATATTAATCCACCCAGGTATTCCAATCCATTCTAAACCCTATCTGTCCACCCAGGTATTCCAATCCATCATAATCCATATATATCCACCCAGGTATTCCAATCCATCATAATCCCTATCTATCAACCCAGGTATTCCTATCCATCCTAATCCCTATTAATCCACTCAGGTATTCCAATCCATTGTAAACCCTATCTGTCCACCCAGGTATTCCAATCCATCTTAATCCCTATCAATCAACCCCGGTATTCCAATCCATCCTAATCCCCATTAATCCACCCCGGTATTCCAATCCATCTTAATCCCTATCTATCAACCCAGGTATTCATATCCATCATAATTCATATATATCCACCCAGGTATTCCAATCCATCCTCATTCCAATCTATCCACCCATGTATCCTCATCCATACACTGAAGTACCTTATTCCCATTCTAATCCCAATCTATCCTCCCATGTATCCTTATCCACACACTGAAGTACCTTATTCCTCAGACATACACGCAGCCTTCCTCAAACACACCTCCTCGCACAACCAACATCCTCCTTCACACATTAAGTCTTACAATGTATCCTCCTCTCCTTCACTCACTGTGTCTTACCTACATATATTTTAATATGAACATGTGCAATGTTTAATACTTGCTTTTTTATATATGACCTTTTCTTAAACAGTTATTCGTGACAGATACTAATAATAAACAATGTAACTTTGAAATCCTGACAACTTGAAGGGTACTTTTTGTTGGTGGTTGTTTTGGTGGTTTTTTTTTTACGAATTGTGAACATTATGAAAAAAAGGTTATTAATGAACCGGAGGCCTTTTCCCTTCAATTCCTGGCAGAGGATATGATTTGGATATGATATTAGGATGTAGTAAAGAATTTTGTTTTGGAATGCGTCTAGGTATGGGAGTTGGTATGTGGTACGGATTTTATGTTGCGTATGTAGTATGTACCCACCGGTCTAGGATACGCAGCTTTATTAATTATGCAAACACGTTTTCGTGTTATTTGACGTGATAGAAAAGATTTAACCAACATCAGTTTGTACATGATGTTGCAATATTTAGAACGAGGGTGAGAAAGTGATTGGAAAATATTAACGTCAACCCGTACCACACCATGACCAACGCACGTTTGTTGGTTGTTTCTTAATTAAATGCATTACGACAATACATTAAAGGTTAAACGGCAACACCGACTACCCCGGAGCTGTTGATGGTGCTGTTCTGACATTTATCCTCATTGATAACTTTAGTTGTTGCCACTCATTTCATGATGTATCCCCTAAGTCAATACCACACAGACAACCTGATATACTGATACCAACAGATACATCGTATCGCCCACCAGACACTGCGGATATCACCACAAATAGCCTCGTCAACTTCTGTTGTACCGCATACCTAACCATACTCTAATCAGCTATCCTCAATGCTTTTATTCCATTTCGTTTCTTAGGAGTTCCATGCCTTTGAATTTCCTGAATTCAGTTTTGATAAGCTGAGTCAATAATTTGTAAATGTCATGATTTTGGTAATGGCAGCATTGCTAATGGTATCCTCATACCTCTCAAGTCTCGTTTAATTCCGACATACCTATTGGCCAAAATCAATAAGGTGTCTGTCGTGTGCTATAGCTCAGACATGGCGAGGAAACTAAAATACACCGTGCAAATGATCTAAAATACTGTACACGCATTTAAAAGAGAGGGAATCTGAATCAGAAGTGTTCACATTACAATTGTGAAACAACTAATAAATTAAACATTATGAGACCATCAGAAGACTGGTTTAGGTAAATATGGTCTTGGTATATCTTCATATGTCTGTCAATTTTCAGGCTGATTTTGGAATATGTTGTTTTGTAAACGTTTATGACGTCATCAAGTTATTTGTGGTAAGAAGGGACAGACAGGCGTTTATGCACGTTTTATATATCAAAACAGTGCTATTTGCATTGTTTGATTGAAGTCTGTGATGTGTTATTATACAGTATGTAAATTATCCGAGAGATGTACGTATTTTGACACTACCTGTTGCCTTGTGTACACCCTTGCTGACACAGTAATATGTTGACAATGAACGTGCCATAAATCTTAGCTGGAAGTGACGCGGTATCTTTAACAAAACCCTTGTTGCGGCGGGTATCCGAAGCCATCAATAACGAGCCATAATTTCGATATCGTGAAATGCAAGGAAAAGAACAACAAATAATTTGCATACCATCATCGCACAGCACTCGATCAATTCAATAATAACATAACAACACAAACCGCTGCCATAACGTGCCATAAATCTTAGCTGGAAGTGACGCGGTATCTTTAACAAAACCCTTGTTGCGGCGTATCCGGTTGTGAATTGTTATTGCTGCTATGACCACTCAATATTGACCTTGAAGATAAATTTCGATTTTTTTCTCCAGACTGTGTCAGTGAACTGGTATGACAACCAGTTCCAATAGGAAATAGACATGTAAACAGCAGGAGAATACTACTCAGCACCTACTGCTAATTTTGTAGTAATCTACGATAATTTGCACCGATTTACTTTCATTTTACATGTTTTAAATACCAAATTTACCTTCGGGTAAGAACACATGAGTAGGCCGCCGGATTTCCGCCAATGAGTGACTCCGCCGGTACGGCTTCTTCTTCTCCTTTTCCTGTCCAGTCTTACCGGAAGACACCTCCTCGAGACTAGACCTGCGCACTTCCTGTTGTTGCATCTCGTCCAGAAACTCCTCTTCGATGGCTTCCGAGTCAGAGAAATCTGTGGGAAAATGTTGATATTAGTGATAACTAAAGAGTATCTACCGTATCCAGACGCGTGAAACATGCATACATCCATGTATAAATATATAAATATTGATTGTGTGTGGTGCCACAGACCCAACACCGGAAATCCGCCACAGTGTCTACATCCGGGATCTTCCTAAACTATTCTGTCATTTTGGATGCCAAAATGTTTCATTCATAAGTTAACCTATTTAGAAACCAATCCCTAAAGATGTACTTCGTGCGAGAAAAGAAAGGTCAGCCATTGCGTTTTGCAGCTTTAAAACAAAAGAAATAAAGCACCGATCATTATCGCAAACATTAAAATATTTTAGTGGGCGGAACATAATTTGCTCTTTATGACCTCTTCACCTGGAAACGTCACATGTTAAGGTAAAAAGGTAATACACATACGACATACATAACCCAAAGCCAAATAAAGTGATATTATATACCTAAGTTGATTGCAACAACAAAACAAAACAAAACACGAAGTAAACTTCCGGTTGCCTGGCAGCACAAGATCATATTACGTGACGCGCATAATAGGACAGATGAGGCTAAAACATATGTAATGGTTTTTTTCGGACGGGGTAAACGCATGTGTCAAACATAAGGAGGGAAAGACAAAGGGGTCAACATGGCAGAGAAAACACAAATTGATCCTGATGGAAGGGTAAGTACAAAAGGGTCTGGAGTAAACACAAATTGATCCTGATGGAAGGGTAAGTACAATGTGGTCTGGAGTAAACACAAATTGGTCATGAAGGAAGGGTAAGTACAAAGTGGTCTAGAGAAAACACAAATTAATCTTGATGGAAGGGTAAGTACAAAGTGGTCTAGAGTTAACACAAATTGGTCCTGATGGAAGATTAAGTACAAAGTGGTCTGGAGTAAACACAAATTTGTCCTGATGGAAGGGTTACAAAGTGGTTTGGAGTAAACATAAAGTGATCCTGATGGAAGGGTAAGTACAAAGTGGTCTGGGGTAAACACAAAATGATCCTGATGGAAGGGTAAACACAAAATGATCCTGATGGAAGGCTAAGTCCAAAAAGGTCAACATGGCGAAGTAAACAGATTTTTTTCAATGGAAGGGTAAATACAAAGTGGTCTAGATTAAACACAAATTGATCTTGATGGAAGTGTAAGTACAAACTGTTCAGTACAAATGGGTCAACACAAACTAAATCTGATGGAATGGTTAGTACAAAGTGGTCAACATGGCGGAGCAAACACAAACTGATACTTACTGAAGGGTAAGAACAAAGCGGTCAAAAGGCAAAGTAAACACTAATTTATCCTGATGGAATGGTAGTTGATGGGTAAACACAAAATGATCCTGATTATTTGGGGAAAATGTGATGGACACTGCACATGTTATACACATAGTGAAATAGTTACACATGGATATTAAACAGTTAACAATGACATTATACCATGTAACACTCACCTGCTAAAAGCTCGTCCGTATCACCAAACCTGCTGGCGTCCGAACTTTTTCGACTACTTATGCCACTCTTGCTACTTCCAGAGCCCCGACGTGACGGACATTCTGATGACAACAGCGACGTACGTCTAGAACAAACACTGGACGCCGACCCGCGGCGGTCCGCGTCTGATGCTAGTGACGTCCGCCTGCTGCTTATACTACTTCCGGAACCACGCCGGTCTGTGTCGACAGACGCCAATGATGTCCTCCGACTACTTCCGCTTTCCGCAGAACACCTGCGCACATAGTCGGATGCATAAGAGGTCCTCCTGCTACCATAGTCGACAAAGATCTGAGGTACCACAAACTTTGTCTGTTCCGACTGTCTCCTCCGAAGAAGAGGCCCCATCACGAGACTTCGGGTATCATCCGGTTTTTCCCTCTCCCGGTGAAATTTACCTGTAGGGAGACGAATAGTGTCAGATATATTAAGCTGATTGATTAACTTTGTGAAGAGCAACCCCATCCTTGCTGTCGGATTGAAATATTCTAATGCAAATATTGTCATGTCTCAAAAGCGAATCATATCACTCTCGAACAGTGATTTACTGAAATCCTGATGAAACTAAATGTTTGTAAAAGTGTTTCTGAGTGATGTCGCCCAGGCCGCCAGCCCGGTGCTGGTGACATAAGTGTGTGAAAGGCCCGACTGTACGACGGGGTGTGCATTTACGTGTCATTTACCTACGGCACGCTACCATTATAACACCGCGCGTCTAATTCGCTTAATACTGAGAGGAGAGAGAGGTGTGCGTTGTGGCGTTTACCGACAGATCGATCTCATCATTTGTACATGGACATATCACAGGCGGAGGGACACACGCCTCACACACGGCCGTGCCCTGGCATTGCGAGGTCACATCAGACCTCGCCATCCCTCATCATGTAGACCGCCTGGCCCCCTACCAACGGCAGGTAATACCACCACACCACGTAAACCCATTACGGCCTTAACCATATACCCTTATCAACCAATTACACTGACATCCACGCATAGGCGAAAACCGCAGAGGCCTTAGGTGAACTTTAGCCGCACAATTATAAAAATGTCTTGAAATCAGTGTCATGTATTGGTTTGGTTGTATTGCAACATATACAAAGACAGTGTTTGTATGAAAATCACATTAATTACAACAGGCAATATCGTTTGACAACCGGATACCAAACCAACAAATCAAGATACTCTATAAGGCGCGCAGCCTATTCAGCTATTGACAAGTTTACTGTGAAAGCTTTTCGTGCGGCAAATTGACTTGAAGCAGGTCGACATGAGCTAGAGGAAATGTATGGCATCTTTGCCGCTGCCGTGGAACATGTGTTAACAGTTTGAGAAATGAAATTGAAATTAAACGTTTAAACAATTTGACACCCATGGAATTAAACCATTGATTCAATGATCCACTGATTAAGACTGACATCGACAAACTGACGAGGCGGCAAACCATGAAATAAACATATTGATGACTCGCTTTTTCCACGAATTTTATCGGTTTACAGGTCTGATTAACAATATTACACTGAAGTAGCCACAGGTTCTAGGAGAAATCAATATATATTGGCAGACTTAAAATGGTGCGGTCTTTTCTTTCGGTCTTTTAATGCGTTCCTATACCACATGATACGAGTACATGACGAGGTAAATGACATTTATATCTAGAAATCAACAAACAATACAATGTGGAAACTAGGTAGTCGGCATGTCAACTGCAGACAGTAACCAATGAATGACACCGGCAAAGATGTCGTCAGATCAAAATATGATAACCGCACACTTGTCGTGAGACAAAACCAATAAAAGACGACCGCAAACATTGTTAGACTACTCGAACGCTTATACTTAAGTAATAACCAGGATCATGTTTGGCGTTCTACGGTACAAACCGAAAAATGTGTGTACTTTGCATACATCTACGGAGTGATTATTCACAAAAGTGCACATAGTTTTTTGTTAGTGTTTATCATATTACTCCACAAATAATCTTGGTAGTTCCATATTATTGAATTTCGAGGTTCAGAAACCACTTTTAAATGCATGATTAATGAATATTTTATTCCTTTCTGATAAAAACATAAACATATCTGTACAAAACACAACTCTGCTCTGTCATTTCATCGCGAAGCAACTTCAAGCAAGTTCGAACCATAAATACCGGGTTAACTATTGGGGAAGACACTAATGCTATCTTAAGGGTATACGATACAACTTGCTAAAGTCTATCACTGGGGGGATAGCCAATAGTATCATTACCAATGAATAGTAAGCGTGAAATTGCCACTAGACGCAAAGTACTGCAACCGTACGATTGCCTGTACAAAAACATTTAAACTTCCAACTAACAGTCAGAAAAGACCTGTGTTCGTCGACAACGTGGTCGTCAGATAAACGTGTAACAACTGCAAACTTGCCGTCAGAATAAAAAATGTACGAACACATTATGTGCAGATCTTTGATAAACATTGTTATTACAACAAGATTTTCAATTTAAAATGAAAACTACGCTTTTAATTACCGATTCGATAACTAGTATGCGCATAATTAAATCATTTTAAGGCACAAACATTCAGTGTGAAACGTCTTTGAAATGTTTTTGTCAATTTTTAAATCGAAAAAAGTATTACATTCTTGTCGGGCACGCGCTTGTAGTTCGTAAAAAAGGTTAGTCGCTCACTTTTACTTACCAATATAGAGTGCGTACAGATCTTCGACTTTAGACTTAAACCCATCAAAATATTCGACAATTATTTCAGAACGGTTCATGGTAGCGCTACTTCTTCTCGTGTGTGGTGCACGAAGTGTGTTTGTGTAAGGTATATTTATATATATATATATATGTAAATTTATTTGTTTTTCGCAATTGGTATCACAGAGCGAATAAGGATCAAGCTTCTTCAAGAAAATGTGGATGTTGTCCTGTAGCATAATAGCCGCACCTAACCATTCATGGAAATAGTTGTGTATTTCACACGGATGTTCTCATGTAAATAGTAGCTCTTCAAGTGTTACATTTAAAATAAGCTTATCTCATCCTAGCATACTGTACTTTTGACCGTTGTACTGACGTCACTGTTGCTTAGGTGATTGTTTTATAATATATTAAATACTATCATATAATGTAAATTGAAACGAACGCTCCTGTTTTTCATATTATTACAAAGTCACCCTTCCCACAATATGCCTCGATTGGTAGCGATTTCGTTTCAGATTTTGTCCTCGTATATTGACAATGAGATATGATTAGTTTCGTTTTCGAGTTAAGTGTATATTATCGATACGGTACATTTTTATATTACAATTTACAACAAAGTCGTTGATTCTCGATGCATCTCATAAAACTCCAATAAATATTCTATAATCCTTTAGGCATCACCAATGTGGTGCTTAGTCTAGCAACAGTTCCGTTATATGTATGATCGCTATGGCAATATGTATAACGAGAATATCAGAGTATAATCACTACATGTATCATATCGTGTGCAATTTTACAGCCTGAATTGACGTCTCACAGCAAAGAGCATTTTTAGTCTTTTTTTTGGTTTCTTTTATTCAATTGGAAGTCATTGCGAAGGTAAAATTAAAAAAAAAATGGCGTGGCGTGGCGGTCCCACTCAGTAGGTGCTATGGCATTCTGACTCAAATAGAAGAAATCGTTATAATATTTGACAAGGTACTGGAATGTTGTGAGAATATTGCATGTAATACCAGACAGATACGCTATGATTGACCATACAAAATTCAACACCCATGCTAAGTATTTTTCATAAAGATAATGTTATAACACCTAGTGTATCAGTCTTACACATGGTTTTATTTTTTACATTGTGGGCGATGTATTAAACCTATGTTTATAATACCTAGTTTTAGAAGTACGCTTGTTGTGTCGTCCAATGCCAAAATGATCACACAATTTACTGCATTTTAAAATAATGATCTGAGAGTAATAAAGGTAAATAATTTTTTAATATTTAGTATGGACTATAAATGGTTAGGCCAACTCGATTTAAAAATCTTCATTGTATTTTCAAATTAATGTTTTTATTTTTAAATGCTTCTTTGATACTGTATTATGACGATATAAATTTATGTTTGCAGTTACGGTTACTTTCGTAATTCAGATTTGCCCTAATTAATGAAATATAAATAATCATTGAATTTTGTCAAGTTTTCGACTATTTTTTCTTTTAACAACCATGTCAAGATCAACAGGATATTCCAATTTTTATAATTTATACAAATTTGATCTCGTTTCTATGGCAACCATAATCTTACCACAATTTTTTTTTCCATATGTATATAGGGGAAGTATTCGAAATGAAAGAAGCAGCGATTTGAAAAGACAAAGTATAGGAAGTGAATTTTGATGGATTTAGGGGTCATAAAAGTCCTATTATACATAGTCCTTAGGTAGCACATTGATTTTTATTATGCTTTTCAATTACTATGAATTTAATTCCTCTATATAGCCAGCATTTTGGGTGCAACAAATAACCACATGGAAATTCATTTGAATTTTCAAACTCAGATTGCCATTAGTCAATTAAAACTGTCACATGACAATTTTCAAATACATTTCTACTATCAAATCAACCAAACATCATCTCCTTTACCCTTGGACTATGCTGATTAGTTGAACACATGTAAGGTTTTCCGGACGCAACCTTTTGGTTATTGCTCCTTATATGTAATATGTTTACATAGGTTCCATAAAAAATTGTTGTTACCATGTTTACTCGGCACAAACTCGTTATTCAAATCAATGACAATTATTGAAAATATTATCCATAACCAAAACGAACCAGCCGTGAATTCCATGTAATATTAGGGCAACATATATTTGCTTTGTTAGAAGGAATCAAAACACAAAGCTGATCGCTAGTGAAGCTGATAACAGCATCAGTAGCTACCACAGAGATAGTTACTTACTGTATAGTTTCCTGACGAGTTTCTTTGCGTGTTTGTCCCAGAACGTCCTGGAGCGACAGAACGGATACTTCCAGCAAACGAATAGACCGACGAACAGCACGAGGGCAGTGCTCACCAGTGCTGTGATAATGGCTGCAACCTCGTACGTCGGTACTGTAAATAAAGAGGGAACGACTTAAATAATGTCTATATCCATATAATACACTGCATCTATAATATAAATGCATTATGTCTAGATCTCTATACGTACAGTATGTACATGTATGTAATTGATAAATCTTTAAATGTATGCATACTGTGTTTACAATGCTACATCGTGTCTCTTACTTTTGAATAATACACTATGTCTTTGCATGTTAACATTATATTTTACATCAACTTGGAAATATGTTTAGAGTATGAAGCTTGTTTTATTGGCGCCACAAATAAGACGGTAGAGTAAACATGTTGTTTATAATAAGTGTGTTGGTAAATTAAAAATAGTGAATCTTCATTTGATGAATAATAAACCAATACGAAGAATGGTGACTTCTGTTAATATATAACAGCAGAAATAGACACCGATAACGGGCATCAGCAATATATACTGTATACATGGAGTCACCGTTCATACGCGATATGTTGCCCGTACATTGTATCTCTATACAGTAACTAAAACATTGTCTCTTAACATGGAATGTTATAAAATTGTCTTTACATTGCATCTCGCATCCTCGATACTCACTTACGCTCTCTACACCCCTATAATATGTCATGGCAAAATTGAAGGCACGAAAAAAGCTGTTTGATTGGTCTCAGGAAAAAAATACTAGGCTGATACATATGTACCTGTCCTTTGATGATTACAAAGGAGAGACGCCCGACTTCAAAGCCTGTCATTTTTTACCGTTACGTGACCGCAAGATTCTTTGGGTGTATATCAAAACAAGGTGGTGCACACCGAGCCTCCAATTTTTCTATGACATATTCCAGGGGTGCAGAGAGCGAAAGTGAGCGTAACCCCTGGATGTCAAGGATGTGCATCTCGATACAGAAGCTATAACAGTGAATCTCTATACAGGTCACTTAAACATTGTCTCTTAACATGGTATGTTGTTAAATTGTCACTACATTGTATTTCTTTACATGTTACCATAACATTGTCTCTAAACATGGGATGTTGTTAAATTGTCTGTACATTATATCTCTAAACAGGTAGCTATAACATTGTCTATAAACATGGTATGTTGTTAAATTGTCAGTACCTTGTATCTCTATACAGGTAGCGATAACATTGTCTGTATATTGTATGTTGTTAAATTGTCACTACATTGTATTTCTTTACATGTTACCATAACATTGTCTCTAAACATGGTATGTTGTTAAATTGTCACTACATTGTATTTCTTTACATGTTACCATAACATTGTCTCTAAACATGGTATGTTGTTAAATTGTCTGTACATTATATCTCTATACAGGTAGCTATAACATTGTCTGTATATTGTATTTCTATACAGGTAGCTATAACATTGTCTCTAAACATGGTATGTTGTTAAATTGTCTGTACATTGTATCTCTATACAGGTAGCTATAACATTGTCTGTACATTGTATGTTGTTAAATTGTCAGTACATTATATCCTTATACAGGTAACTATAACATCGTCTTTAAACATAGTATGTTGTTAAATTGTCAGTACATTATATCTCTATACAGGTAACTAAACATTGTCTGTACATTGTATCTCTATACAGGTAGCTATAACATTGTCTCTAAACATGGTATGTTGTTAAATTGTCAGTACATTATATCTCTATACAGGTAACTATAACATTGTCTGCACATTGTATTTCTATACAGGTAACTATATAACATTGTCAGTACATTGTATTTCTTTACAGGTAACTATAACATTGTCTCTAAACATGGTATGTTGTTAAATTGTCTGTACATTGTATCTCTATACAGGTAACTATAACATTGTCTGTATATTATAACTCTATACAGGTAACTATAACATTGTGTGCACATTGTATTTCTATACAGGTAACTATATAACATTGTCTGTACATTGAATTTCTATACAGGTAACTATAACATTTTCTGTACATTGTATTTCTATACAGGTAACTATATAACATTGTCTGTACATTGTATTTCTATACAGGTAACTATACAACATTGTCTGTACATTGTATTTCTATACATGTAACTATAACATTGTCTCTAAACATGGTATGTTGTTAAATTGTCTGTACATTGTATCTCTATACAGGAAACTATAACATTGTCTGTATATTATAACTCTATACAGGTAACTATAACATTGTCTGCACATTGTATTTCTATACAGTTAACTATATAACATTGTCAGTACATTGTATTTCTTTACAGGTAACTATAACATTGTCTCTAAACATGGTATGTAGTTAAATTGTCAGTACATTATAACTCTATACAGGTAGCTATAACATTGTCTCTAAACATGGTATGTTGTTAAATTGTCAGTACATTGTATTTCTATACAGGTAACTAAAACATTGTCTCTAAATATGGTATGTTGTTAAATTGCCCGTACATTGTATCTCTATACAGGTAGCTATAACATTGTCTGTACATTGTATTTCTATACAGGTAACTATAACATTGTCTCTAAACATGGTATGTAGTTAAATTGTCAGTACATTATAACTCTATACAGGTAGCTATAACATTGTCTGTAAACATGGTATGTTGGTAAATTGTCTGTATATTGTATCTCTATACAGGTAGCTATAACATTGTCTGTAAACACGGTATGTTGTAAAATTGCCCGTACATTATATCTCTATACAGGTAACTATAACATTGTATATCTAAACAGGTAACTATAGCATTGTTCCCACGAGAATAGCAAAGTGTCTTGCATTTCCGTTTCCAGTCTTTTGTTTTTATTTTACCCACGTATCTTTGGCAACAAAGTAGAGTCTGCAGTATCTGAAAAAATCAGACTACAAACATAAACGACATGGAATCGGCGGTATCTGATACATTAAAAACATACTATAACATTCAGCTGTGTAGAGAAGCTTAACAACCTTACGTGTAGTGAAACCGTTATCCAAATATAGGATGCCATTTTATATTTTGAAGGGGAATTAAAATATTTGTAGACATAATTCCGATGGACAAAATATATTTCATAATGACAGATAAGCGGAACGTTCTTTGTCTCGTTCATTTCAACAAATTTATTGACAAAGTTGATACAAGTCAATTGGATGGAATAACAGGCAAAGCCTATATAAATTCTCTCCAGCGGTGGCTAAATTAACGGATTCTGTTATTTTTATTTGATTTAATTAATGCATCAATTTTGAAATGAAAATTATGAACAAAAAAAATCAAAGGGATGAACTCCTTCTTAATTAACATAACTGAAATACAAATACATTCACACTTCTCATATCACACACAAAACACTTCCACAGGTATTAATTATCTTTATAACATTTTACAATGTATGTAAGCTATATAGCTATCAAATCACACAGATATTGGCATTTGTTTCGTTCCCACGAAGGGTAGTATTGAACGGGAGTTATATACTGTAGCTACAAAACATAACGAGCAACACTGTCTGAACGGAATAACGAGAATATGGTTGTCATCTGATCATATAAAGTCTAACAGTAGCGACACCTAGGTAGTATATGTAATGCGAGTTCTTCGATTACATCTATATTACTGCTGTGTTTGCTTGTGTATTCCATATATATTTCATAGTCGGTGTTCGACCTATACGAACTCAAAATACATTCACCTTTTGAAAATATGTCAAATTCCATACAGTAACTGTGGCACCCGATCACGTATAAACTAAATCAGTCTTATGTGTAACGGAGAGATCAAAAATATGCGATATCATATGTATGGGAGTGATGCCCCCTTGTTCAGTGAAATCTTTCTTTAAGTACAGAAACAATACATGTACTATATGTAATCTCAATGCGGTCTCCTAGGCAGAGTTACAGTGTCAGAGCGCGTTTTCCAAATGCTATGAGACAAAATTTGGGAACCAAATAGAGAGATTGATTACATTATTGTTTGCATGATTTGATTACGAGAGAGTGACTTTATTCTAGTTGAGATGAAGAGCTTTCAGTTTAAAATGTAATTATCAATGTTTCTGCTATTGATAAGTATTAAAGAATGCGTTAGTTATTTTGTAAAATGATAACAAAACTAGCCCTTGAATGGTGGTGTATAAATTAAAAAGATAGACTGCCCTTAATGTGATTTCTTTTGTCGTCATTACTTGACCAAAACAGAAAACTATTTCACAATTATTCATTAGTTTCATATCAATAGTCATATACATGTACCACCGGTGTCGATAATTAACTTGTATCTATGCAAGTGGTCCATCGGCTGGCTGTTACAGAATGTACACTTTTTGGAACAGTCTTTACATTTTGGCAACTTCCCCATAACAATACTCGCTGGTTTTATACAATAAAAAGAAATAATTGTTTGCTGATTTCAATCACGATGATTACAAAACGTTCAGACAAATACTTTCATGTTGTACTAAATTCAACCATGACCAGCTTTGATCATATTGTTAATATGTCAACTAAAAGAACTGTGGTTTGGACTCTAAATTACTTCCTGAATTCTACATCCGTCGTTCAACAACACATGTATGGCACAGCAATGTCATTAGTAGACGTTACAAACATCCTAACACAAATATTGTGTATAAGCATGACATTTGAATCAATTTGGGGCGATAATTAACAATTATGTCGCATATATCAATATCTTAAGGCAGAGTAAATTTGGACAGTCATTCGTTGTTGGGAACAATGAGTAACGCTCTAACTTTACTTTCCAGGGGGACACATACATATATTAGTATGGATTTAAGCACAGGTATAAGAGACGAACAAACTAATATAGTAAATGTCTTATTATCTTATGATAACTTAATATCCTATACAATCAAATTTCATTATTCCAGTTCCACTAATCAAGTCACGACTAATCATGATGTTGCATCTCTTAACAGTATTTAAGGAACACTATGGCAATCATAGCCTAGAACACCACTGTTTTGATGATTGCACTTGAAATGAGGTCCAGGGTATTTAAGAAACTTCCTGTAGGCAAAGCAGCGTGGTATGAACTAA